GGATGCCTGGGAGAGGGGGTGGTGGGGGGTGGGGGGTGGAGCTGGGAAACTCTCTGCCTGGCTAACCTTAATATTGTGATTCTCTTCAGCCAACAAAACCGTGCATTTGATGTAACATGTCAGGTTCCTCTGGGACTTGGGGGCAGGTCCTCACCTCTGGTTAGACAGCCAGCTGCCAGTTCCTCAGAGTCCACAGAGCCAGAAACACCCACATGTGTTGTTGGATGTGTTCTAGGCAAAAGAAGGTAAGTCCTGGTTTTTGTGGTGGATTTTTAGCATTAGGATGGAGTATTGGGTTTACGAGTATATTTGTGTTTGTAAGTACTGACTGCTGTCCAATCTCTGAGGCATAGGATGCAATTTCTTCAAAAGACAAGTTAAATAAGCTAAAGTCTGTCATTGTTATTCCTCAACCAGTATTTTAGATAGAGGACAGGCAGTTAATGGTGATTAATTCTATATTTAATGTTTCATATTAAATCTTTTTGACTCCATCAGTGGCACTAATTAGTTCATGTTGTCTAGTTGCAAACAGAGACAAACAGAAAGTCAGTGAAATCAGTAGGCAGTATGGATTTTATTTAGTCAATGTTTGTATTGACAAATAAAGAATCTCAATCTTAATGTCAAGTTGTTGAGGGAAGTCTTTGTTTTCGTGGTCTACCAGACTAACAAGTAGCTGTGATTTAACAACAGGGATTACTTTATGTACCACTATTGCTTGCCGTACTGTATTTATTGTCCTCGGTACATTCAGTCTGGCTTAGTCTGTCTGCCTTGGCTCCTTGATGGTTTGAACTGTGGGAGCTGCTGCTGTAACCCGACCTTGCCTCCTCCAGCCACCTGTGCTCGCATGCTCAGGGAAAACACTGGCTTTTGTGTTGGAGTGAGACGTCCGCACAGCAGGGGGCTAAGGTACATTAGGGGGCTATGACAGGTGGCATACTCTCTTAATGTTTACTCTCAGTAAAGAGCACGAATATGGTGGGGATGTCGGCGCAACAGCTGCACCACACTGCCTTAAAGGTGGCGGTAAATCTTGATCCTAACTACGACATCAGCGGAATACAACATCTATACAGGAGGCCTGAGGTTTTTAATGGGCATTTAAGATGCATGCTGACTTTGGTCTCGGTCTACATGCACTCTGGCATGGCAGAGGAAGCTGGGGGTTGGCATGGCAGTGTGACTGTTTGTAAAGCTATGTGCATTTGTATACAGAGGTAGTCAATCTGAAATGTCCAGCAGTCCAGTTGAGTCTATCTGCGAGAAGGGGAACGATTCAGTTCAGAGTTCCCGGGAACTGGAACAGTTTGAGAAAGGAGCAAAGGGGGCAATAGCTCAGGGTCTGTGAGACTGGATGGTGATGTGATGTGAGTTCTCAAGGTTGTGTGAGGCGGACAGACGGAGAGTGATGACTCATTCACTTTGTCCTCTACATTTCCTGAGCTTGTCTGCCTTAAAGTCAAAAGCAGATCTGTAAGTATGAAACTTAATACAAAATGCTGTTGTGTTTCTGGATTGTTTTTGTGTAACACTGAGACTTTTGCTGCAAGCAAGGGCTTTGGGCTAACAGTAACACGCTAAGGCTGAGGCTGCAAAGACCAATCGACCAGCCAGTTGACTGGAAGAAGCTAATACGAATGTCGACTTTATAATAAAAATGTTCAGTTATGACAGAATATTTACTGCTTTTCTTAAATAATCTTAAATTGTTGTGGAATGAATAAACAAGATATTAGCAGATATCAAATCACTGCTATTTGGCAGTTTGAGAAGTTTAATAAAAAAAAAAAATTAGTTGTTGTGGATTCTCTGAGCTGTTTCAAAGATGCATTATTTTAAACTGATGCTGTGTGTTATGCTGTTTTAAAGATGTGTTGCCACAGTTGTTGCCGTCATGACTTTATGAGGATGGAAAAAGGGTGAAGTTTTAAGATTTCATGACAGCTGTTGGTGGCCTGTGTGGTTTTGGTATGAAGTGAGGTAGGACCAAGGTGTCACATTCCACAGTTTGGTGTGTGTGTGTGTGTCTCTGTGTGTGCGATTTCATTACAATGACCGCTCGTCTATCAGCAACAGGGCATGCACTTGAGTTACTTTTGACTTTTGCCTTAAGTCGAGCGTTTGTGTGTACACTTTGCCTGTGTGTGTTTATGCTCATCTAAAGCAGAGCTACGAAAATATTTCAATCTTTATCCAAACATCTTCTGTTCACCCTCCCCTTAAATCTGTCTTCTATTTTCATCTTTCAAAAACTGTAAGATATGATGATGAAAAATGATGAAACTCCAGCTCTTGTGTCATCTGACTAATTTGCTCCCTTGATAGGTTTATCTGATTGCGTACCAACCCCTGGGACTGACCATATCTGCCTTTTCAGATCACATAAATGTAGTTTACCAGAAGCCTGCGTAAATAAGGCTATTTTAAAACCTGATGGTTGCCCACGGAAAAACAACAGGAAAAGTTTTATTTATGTAGTTGTGCAAACATGCACTACTGTCTTGAACTTAACTGCTATCTTGATGTGAATCAAAACACTGTACATACAACTAGAGCTCACAGATGGATGTGTTCTTGTCTTTAGAACAAGGTCATCAGCACTGTGGAATAAATAACCCTGCATGTAAATATACATTTTGGCTGTAGAGTGCATTTTATTTATTGTTTATTGCAGTGCAGCAGGGCTGCATTGATGTCTCTTTTTGTGGCCACAGTTGAGACATTTTTCCACAATCCCAAAAAGGATATGTATGAATGCAGAATGTAGACAGTCTTCTCTATCGCATAATAAAAGACCTATAAAACGGTATGTATAAAAGCTAGATTCCAGGTCTCAAAAATGAAGCGAGTGGAAAGGTGCATTAAACATGTATTATTCTTAAGGGCCAGCAGGGGGAGACTCTCCAAAAGGGCTGCAAAAAGACATCCTACTGCGCTGAAGTCTATGAAAAAAGGATGCTATGTTTCACTTTATTTATGACCTCAGTACACAGTTTCATGACAAATTTATAGTGTCACTCACTATTTTCAAATCTTAATGACCACAACCTGATGTTCATGTCCCTTTTTTCTTAGATCCTCTTAACCACGTATCCAAATCAGCATCCTGAGCTTGGGCTCTGGAGCTTATTCCAGCTCATTTTGTAAACAGTATCCCTATGTAGAGTAAAAATACGACAAAGCAGGATGAGGTGCGTGTAGTAGAAACACTACTAGAGTGTCTGTATGCAGCCTGTTTTATATTGTGTGAATCCCTGTATTTGTACACCATGAAAATTCTGATCTGCTGGAGCCATAAAAAGATTAGAGCTGCTGACTACTCCACTGCCAGTTTTATAAAAAGAAATTAAACCAAATTTAATGTCACTCAGTGCTGAAAATCTAATAAACGTGTTTTAGAGACACAAACACAGTGGACACCTGTCAAGGCAGCTCTGAATTAACTTGAATTTACTACTTTTGTAGCTAAACAATGTTTCTTTTTTGTAAACATGTAGTGTATATATATATAAACTTGACCTACTTTGTTGCCTATGTGAAGCAACTTTAACTCAATGGGATAACTATGAATTAAAAAGAAGGAAAACGACAAAAATGGAGAGACATAAAAGAAGAAAATCTGTACTCTGACCTACTGAAACCAGCCCAGTGGAAAGGCAAGGCAGCAGAAATTATAGGTTAAGTCCAAGCACACACACTCCGAGTAGGCGAGAGAGGAGTGTGTATTTGCAGAGTGCATATGTGAGGTATGTCTTCTTCTGCTTACACAGAAGATTATACAGTAGCTATAAGACTACGACTAAATGTAGACTGAGTGCATAACAGTATCTGCTCTCTGGAACCTCTTTGTTTCATTTCCCAGAAATGCACTACACCAAAGTATAAACGTCTCTGAGTATCACTGTCAACATGAGAGTAACCGTGTGTGTGTGTGTGTGTGTATGTGTGTTTGAGTGTGCCCACACTGAGTGCGAGACTCCAGTCAGTCAGTGTGGGTCTTTTTGTGCCTCTCAGGTCATTGTGATGTCTGCCTTTAATGACATCTGATGAGACTCCAGCGCCTCTCTCTCTAAAAATAAAGCAAACTCAATTACCCGTCGTCACTACCTTCCCTGTTTGCACAGACTGACCTAATGTGATCTTTTTCACACAGAGTGTGTATTCTTACAGAGCATGTCGTTCCTCCGAACAAGGACTTCCTGTGTTTAGGAAAAAATGGGAAGGAGCTACCATTCACAGCTAGCAAACATGTCATTTTGTTGCATTCCTCCTGTAAAAATATGCTCACCTCTGATGCTTGTGTGTCAAAGAGAGGGATATTTTGCAGTGCTTGTCACAATTCCTCATTATGGAATCAGGTAAAACCTATTTTAATAATTCAAAACATTTTTAGAGTCAGTATAAAGAAGTTCTATCTGGCTTCTGTAGCGGGAGGATGTCTCCATATGTCATTGGTTTGTGAGTCAGCTAAAGCATAGGGCAGTCCCCTGACAATATTTAAGAGGAATGCCATTGTAATGAGTGACCTGAGCCAACCAATCCTATGCTGATGTCTTCCTTTCTTTTTTCTTTTGAAAAGCAGCAGAATAAGCTGAAACCCTAGTCCATTTGTATTGTCAGGACAAAGAGAGACCATTGTGGGCAAGAGGGGTAGAGGGGAGCTGGTGGAGGTAGGGGTGTAGAGGGTCAGGGAGGGCAGAGAGGAGTTAGTCAACGTCTGATGCCTGCTGGGTAGAGTGCTGGGGCTCACGGCAGTCGGGGTGTGCGGGTCAGGTAGTGTGTACGTGTCCTTTTTCTTTTTTTCCCCGTCTTTTTTTTTTATGAATGATGAGCTTGAAGTTGCAGGAGTGTGCATTTGTCCAGCTGGATGGAGCTTCATTAGAAAAGCAAGCAGCAGGGCGGGGGAGGTTATGTTGGAGGAAGGGAGGGTGAGTGACGGGGAAGCCAGCGCACTGCCTCTCTCACGCTCTGAAGTTTAGTCTACTCCAGCTACAGACACCACAGCATAGAGAAAAGGAGAGAGACAGGGGAGAGAAATGGTGCCGGACCCACTGATACCACAGCAATGACTTACTACACTCACAGTGTGGATTACAAAAGTCTTTCACCTGGAGTTTGGAGACACGTGATTTATTGAATTTTGGAATTGTTTCTCTGGTGGCTAAATGCTTCCTTTGGGCAAAATGCACTCCAGAGCAAAATCACGGAGCTGTGACAACTACCTGTGTATAAAGGTACGAGCTTGAAATGTGTTTAATTACAGGATTTCGGTGACTCTCTGGAAGTTTTTGCACATGCTTGAACTTTTTTTTTTGCCTTTTTTTCCCCGGCCACTTTATTGCGTGTGTGTTTCTGTATTATGGCGGTAGATGTTTTTGATGTCACTGTTCAGAGATGACTGATATTTTGACTTGTCGCTGTGTAGTCAAAACACAGCAGGAAGCTTTTCATACATGCATTGTGTTAGAAGAAAAGGGAGGACGACACGAACGATGATCGGGATTATGTTATTGCTCGATATGCACATATATCCAGCGGCTCATTTCTCCTTTAAGGGAATATAACATGGACTTGTTTGTTTGTAGCGCTCTGTTCACTTTAAAGGGTGATGAATTCCTTTTGCACGGCCTGTCTGTATCATTACTTTTGTTGTGCAGTTGTAAAAGATGAGCGTTTTAGATTTATTTCTTCACTAGTTATAGATCGTGTGCGTGTTGATGATGATTAGAAATTAGAAACGTGGACTTTTATCTGTAGGGGGAAATAGAGAAAGCAAGATATGATAAACAGACTATTATTTCTGGGAGTCACTGAGATACACAAGTTTGTATCCTCTCTGATATCTTTATCAACCTCCCACTTATAATGGAATGCACCCACTCTATATTTACCCTGCAGAGGTATCAACACACTTTGTCAGGCTCCTTTGTCTCTGTTGTCACTACTTATCACTGCCCTGACTGGCTGAAGGACCTCCATTCACTATTTTGTCTTCCTTAATGAGTTTTATTGAATTGAACATAATATTTAAATGTGTGAGATTCAGTGTTTCATACACACTGGCAGAACAACAAGCCTGTCGGTGCTGTTTACATCCTGAAACAAAGTCATTAGTCGCTTTCCGCTGGTATAAAGTGAGTCTTTTCCATAAACACTGTGGGAATATGTGAAAATTACTCTTTAATCCATCAGTAGTGGTAGTTTTTGTCAGTCTTATTAAATTTTTTTTAAAAATAAATCAAAATAATACGACTTACTGACCCAGATTAAAAAATATGTTGAATCAGAAACACCCCTACTTTCTTTACTGTAAAAGTAGTACTTTTGGCTGTGGGTATGTGGGTGGTCCAGTTTATCGCCTCACCTCTCACACCTATCTGTGTTCATCACACAATCCTTTTGTCTCGCCGGGTTATCTGCTAAGATAACAACGCTACAATTTACAGCAACAGCTAATCTTCTTACGGACCACAGCATTAGTATGATTATGCTTTTATTTCTCGAAGCGTGTGCTGTGTCTTGTACACAGAGAGTGTGGCGTTTGTGTGTACAGTTTGATGTGTAATTACATGTCTTAAGCTCCTTGTTAAGGGCCGTATTTCAAACTAACAGCGATCTCAAGTAACCTCATTGACTTTGTTATGGCTCCTTGACATAATCAGAAACTGTGGCTTTTAAATGTATTCAGAGTACAGCGTGCACCTTTTGTCTGACCACACATCCCAGCATCTCTCCTCTTACTGTCGTTCTCTCATGAGATAGGATTTCTATTGGTACAGATCAAAAGCTGAAACTTACTGCGGGCTTAATGGGGAGGTCTCACTAGACTCTTTTGTTGGCATCCTGGCACCTGGCAGCGGGGCAGGTCTGAGCAACCTGTGGCCTTTGTCGTCCCGCTGCCTTTGAGGCTGTTAGCAGGTTGGTTAGCGAGCAGCCTCTGTGGGGGCTCCAGGGCTCTCCTGTTACACTCCCCTGGTGGCTTCATGCTCCACTGGAGTCCTGGCAGGCAGCGTCTTTTGTGTCCCTGACCCACTAAATGTGTCAGTGACCACCTCGTGTTTGCTTCTGTGTGTCTCTCACTTTTTCTTTTGGTTTTGATACACTTCTTTCCTTATTTGCCCGACTTTTTCATTAAGCGTTGCAATAGAGGAATCACCAACTAATCAAGCATTTCACCACCATCCGTATATCTTTAACTTTATAAAAAAGGAGGGGGGTTAACAAAACAGAAAAGGTCAAACGTAACCAGGATCAATCCTCTGGGTTTGCTTTTTTCATCAAGAGACAAAACCCTTTAATGTTTAACCATCCCATTTGCTCTGATCACCTTTTTGACAGCTTGTTTACTGATGGCACAGACAAAAGTGTCCCACCTTGAGCTTTAAAGCCATTAATTACCACCTCAGTCTGCCATCAAACAAGCAGCCCATTAGAAAGATCTGGCATCAGAGAGGTTGGGACTTCCCAATTTGCTCCTGTCCTGCCTGAAGCTCTGAAGCTAGACATACACAGCTATATACACTGCATTCCTGTGTGGCTCAGAGCGGATGGGAGGCTCAGCGCTGGTGGTTAAACTTGGTCACTCTGCTGAGACGTGCAAATATATCTCGTGCTAGACAGGTGACACTTAATGAAAAGCTTCCATTTTTTTCATGCCAGTGGGAAGTTCTGTGTCTCCTACCATAGGTAGGATTTTATTTACATGTGTCACTACTCTGAGTGTAAACAATGGATTATCCATCTGTTGTTATTTTTAGTGCGGGTTTTTTGTATCCATACTGTAGCACTGGATTACATATACAGCCACTCCTGCGCAACACGATGTCTAGCCTTTGAATCGTAATGTTGGCTAATTGTTCTTCAAAACACTGCGTCTGTCACTACCCTTGTTTTTCTGCCTTAGGAACCTGAATTGAAACTTGCTGGTGTGTCCGAACTATGCGGCCGAGGCTTTCCTCCCATTGTTAGCTCTCCTCCAATAAAACACCATGTTACTCCTCTCCTCCTGAGGGCAACAGTGACTAATGCCCAGAAACGTTTTTGTCTCGCTAAAGCAAGCTGACTGCTAATGGAAGTGGGTGTTTTGTTTCAGGCCACCGACACTGTACTGCACATACCACTTAGAGAGGCGGAGTACACAATGAGCGCCTTGTAGTAGAGTCGTGGCATGTGTACGAATGCGCTCAACTGTACTCACTCTCTTCTAATTGATGGTGCTGCACTGCTTAGATCAACAAGACAGATCCTACAAAGGATGAAACATGGGCTGTCTGACCACCAAAACTCAATAGAGTAAAGGCGATCTCTTGATTTGTCGGCAGCTTCTATTTACATGCAAATGTCGCATAGAGATTCAACTGAAAGTAGCAAAATGCATCGAGGAGCTGCATATTAAAGCCCTGTGTTGGTCAACATCTTGCAAAGTGGTAACACTTTATTATCCAGCCCCCTACTGAGGGTGTAATTCGCCTGTAACTAACTAGAATTTCAATGTATTTTACTTGTAATTACAGTGTAGTTATATACTTACAGCTACGTACTTTAGAATAAAGGCATAAAACAGCAGGTCTTTGCAGGAAAAAATAATTATACTATAACTAAATTGTGTCATTAGAAATTGTGTTAGTAAATTTAAATTAATGTATAAGTAATTTTACATCATTCATGAGTAATTTTAAGAGTAATTTCCTTTTTTTTTTTTTTTTTTTTTTTTTACATCTTTTTTTTGATATCATCATTTAATATTCATTATGTGCCTGATGGATTTTATACGATTCAATTTCCCCACTTTATAGGGTCAATTCTTTGGTGTTCAATTTTGATTGAATTAATTCTAATTATACATTTCTATTTATTTATTCGAGTCTTTGTTCCATCATATAAATGCATTTTTATTTTAATTTACTCATTTTGAAAGTTATATTTGAACAGTGATTGTAAAAGGAGAAAAAAAGAGTAAACTTAAGTAAATAAATTTACTTTACTGTATATACACAGGTCTATAATTTGTTTCTTTTAAGTTTAAAAGGGAGAACGGTACTTATAATATCCATCCATCCATCTTCATCCGCTTTATCCGGGGGCGGGTCGCGGGGGCAGCAGCCTAAGCAAAGAGGCCCAGACCTCCCTCTCCCCAGCCACCTCCTCCAGCTCATCCGGGGGAACACCAAGGCGTTCCCAGGCCAGCCGAGAGATATAA